GAACGTCATCTGACTTTCATATTACGGTTACAAGTAAATCTCTATAAAACTATGAAAAATATACAAGGACTCAGATCCACGGCTCACTGATGAAAACTATTGGCAGTTTTAATGAAATTTTTACAGAAAACAAGGTATTTCTAACAAACGTAAAGCAAAGAGTTTAAGCCCGAATTTGTGCCTATGAATAGATTGAACAGTCATTAGGTAGTCCTGAAAATTTCAACGAAAGTGAACATGTCCTTCTCAATACATTCAATATACAAAAAAAATAGTGATTTATCAGTTGAGTATCGAGTAATCGAATCTTCCTGAAAACTGAATCTCTCATGAAAGGCTGACTTGTTTTTGTTGAAGCTTTCAGGACTATCTAATGACTGTTAAATCTGCTTATACAGAGAAAAATTATAGTCAAAACTCGTCGTTCTACTCATGGTGATAATGTGAAGTCGAACGACATCCTACAGTTGGGATAGATTCCCTTGCTGGTTCCAGTAGTATAGTTTGACTAAAAGGAGCACATAGTCTAATACTTGACAATTAAAGATGATCAAAAAGGAATGTTGTATTCATCTTCTGAATCAATCAAAACACTATTATTTAAGCCTTTTTTTAGATTCAATTCGAATAGATTTTGACATAGTTTTTTCTAAGATAGAACTAAACCAAACTTAACAGGACTATGACGGATACCACTGAAAAAGAAGTTACGGGTACTAAAAAAAAAATCCTTGACCCCACACATTTCTATTTGGGATATTACCAGAAGCTTCGTCTTTTTTACAATAAATAATTTTTTTATTTCTTCGAATACATCTCAAAATTTTTCCTTAATTACACATCGATATTTCTTAATTTGAAGAATGATGGCTTCTGAAATAGAATTCTAATCTTTTGACAAGTACCTATCTTGTTTGAAGATGATTTCAGCTTTGAACTTTTTTAATAAATAAACTCCTTACAAAAGTCTACTATGAAATTAAAATGAATTTTCTTACTATCCACATATGCTGAAGTTGAAGTTTCCCCATCTGAACCACTCTCAACTATAAAGAAGAATTAAATAAAAAATTATATTTATAAATCTATACGAGAGAATAGAAATTGTTTGGTATGGTTGAGATTTTAGCTATATTTGCTTATTAACTTTTATTTTCGTTGATTGCTTTGAACAAACTATTTTATATGTTACTGGTCTCTGAGCGTCCTACACTCACAGTGCAGAATTGCTACCAGTAATGATAAACGGTTGGACTTACATTAGAATATTTCTGTTCAGACAAATTACATATACTGGTGATTCATTATTCTTATGCCTGACGAACACTTAAATAATGCGCACAAAACTAATATAGAATTTGTAGGCTTATGAAATTTTCTGTCTATTGATAGATGTTAAGAGAGAAAGAGAAAACTTATGGAAATACATAGTGAAGACGAAGCTTTCAACACAATTCCTAGGAAATAAAAATATTAAACATGATGAAACTACTTTAACCACTGTAAGAACCCTAGTCTCTTATATGACAGACCGACAATTAACATGTCGGGAAATTCGCTAGATCGTTAAAGTTATATCGATATTTCTGTTACAGTTTGTCAATAAGTTAAACGAATATCAGCATGTTTGTCGCAATCTTTTAAGCAAACTCAGTTATGAGGCTCATATGGTAAAAATAAATCGTATTTTATAAAGAGATACACTCAAAACAAAGGAAATTTTCTGAGATTGAAAAAAGAAAAAAAATTTCCAGATAATCTATTTCATACAGCTTGATGTGCTCTGTTGAATCATATATTTATCCTATTTGTGTCTTTCTCTTTCGATGTCTAACCGTCCTGCACCATTTTTCGACAAATAAAACTATATAGAAAAGTTTCTTCCGAATGACTTTTCTAAAAGTAGGTTTTTCTCTTCAGACAAGAATATTTCAACTTAGAAAGTAAACCTTGTGATGTTATACCCCCTCATTCGACAGCTCTGCCTCTAAAATCAATAAACATTTCATGTCAAACAGTTTTCTTAACGTTATTTTTGAAGTATTCTTAGAGTAATCTCCACGTAAGAATTGATGAGAATCGTCGACAAGTGAACCAAAATTTTACGATTTCAGCCGTCGATGGCGAAGATATCTATACTGGAACTATCATGAACAATGGAAGTTTTTCGGCGTCTCAATATTATTTTGGATTGAACTATTCAATCAGAAAAGTCTCAACAAAGCTCTTTTCGAACTCTAAGGAGAAAAATTAATGTTATCATCGTAAATCTTTTGTATTAAGACTTATCGACTTTAGGTTGTTGCTTGCGATCAGAATTGACAAAGTATCACACACAAGGATTGAAGTTGATGTACTTTTTATCCAGTAGCATACGATGCGTTTACACTAAAGTAAGTCAAAATCTCTACAAGTATGAAGGATACTGTCGAGAAAATTCTGCTATGTAATAGAAAAATAGAACATAAGGCAATGAATTACTTAGAAATTGTTTCGATCTACTTTTAGTTGTTCGTGTCAATCATACCAAAAAATTTGTAATTCATTCGTATGCATTAGTATCGAATTCTTTCATATTTTTCAAATAAAAACTCCATTTCTTATCGAACATCTAAATTTATTTCATATTCTCTCACTTACCATTATTTGTATAAATTGATAGTATTATAATGAATAAAAAAGGAATAAAACGCTTATTAAAAAAACTCCAATCCATTTTATTACCAAATTTCACTTCCGTTTATTACTATTACTATTTTGTTTCTAGAATATAAGTAATAGAAAATAAGTTGACGATAAAATAAGAAAAAACAAATTTTTCTCATTTGTCTGCTTGACTTTTTTTGTTGTTTTTGTTTCTTGTATTCCTATATTGAATATTGAATTGAAATAAAAACATATGTGAAGCGAAAGCCAATTTCTTTATTGTTTTTTAAAAATTTAATTAAAGACAAAAAATACGAAAGAATATTCACGTATTTAGTAGCTGAAGAAAACAGATTTAGGCAGCAATCAATGACAGACAAACATTCCTACACAATATTGTACTGATTTAGAAAAACACTCGTAATTTATATCATAAGTGTTTCTTATAACTAACATTTCGCAAATTGAAACTGCATTTTTCTTTTTGATAAATAGATCGAAATAATATAGTAGTGGATAAAAAGTTTAGCTTAGTTGTATTTTTGAATTTTCTTTTGATTGTTAGTAGCTAGTCAGAATTTGTTAAAATATTTGAGTAGCTGAAAGAATTCTGTGATAAGTTTGTGGCTTTAAAAACATCAATAGAGCAGCTTGTATGAAAATGTCTGAAAAACCAAGATCCTCAAAACCAATTTTCTGGCATCTATTAGAAGCTTTTTGGCAACGATTGTATTTGATAGAGGAAAGAATTCGTAAAACATAGTGAAATCATTGAAATTTTTCATTAAAATAAAAGAAAAAAAATACTTGTTAAATCTTCTGCAAATGGAAGGCAGTTAGATGAAAAGAGCAAAAACATATCATTTTGCTCAGAATTATTTTCTTCATCAAATGGATACCAGAAAACTGTTTTTGGAGATTCTTTATTTTCTAGATATCCTCATCCAAATAGTTACGCTATTACCATTGAAAGGAAAACTCTAAAATAGAACTGTTCTAAACTTTCGCTCGTTACTGTATATTATAGAATAGACGTTGTCTTGTTCATATTTATTGAAGTTTTGCTAAAACCTGTCTAAATCAATGTTTATTCGTTTTTTTCCAGTCGCAAATAATTTAATATGTTTCAAATATCATTGTGAATGTGTTTTTATTTTATTTATGTTTTTTTTTTAGAAATTTTATTACTTAGTCTTATTTCTTTTCTTCGCAACAACAAAAAAGATGTTCTCAAATCATTTCAATCTATTTCTTTTCTTAATTCTACTCTGTACTATGATAATTATCAATCCAATTGCTTGTATATCAATGAAAGAATATGGCTCAACAGTTGATGAAAATAGTGAATCATTGAAGCCTATTGAAAATTTAGATGACGATAGAAACAATTTAGATGTTAAACAAGAAGACAAACAAGATACTTCCGATGATTATGATGATCATGAAGATATGAATCTATATGATATTCAAAGAAATATTATTGGTGCCAATCAACAACAAAGATTTAAAATCGATTATCGTTATAAAGATCTGGAACTTTTATCTGATTAACTTTATACATATATATATATAATTATATCGAAGTTTTTTGTGTTCAATTTTGAGAATAAAACTAAATTTTAATTGATATTTAGTACTAAGTTCTAACAAAGAGAATAAATGATTATAAAATGGAGATAAAAAACAATATAATAATAATAATAATAAATTGTTTTTTTTGTCATTCTTTATACAATCGTCGTTATCGCGAAATCAGTTCATCAAGAAAAAAAAATAATCAATATCAAAAGAAAAACAAAATATGTCAAAGACAAGCATATAACATATAATCGAAAATTGAGAACGGATCATTGTCACTTGTGCAAAGTGAATATTCAATGGCAGTCAATCCATCTGCACCTTGTTGTTATAATTTGGAAGAAGGATCTTTATCAACAAGAAAAATTATAACTGTAACTAAGTAAGATTTGTATGATTTAGGAGAAAAACTATACAAAATAGATTTCATTAAAAAGACCGCCGAAAGATAGTAATAATAATAATAATAAAACAACTACATTTACTGATATTATTCAACCGATGATTGTAGAATTGGTAAGGGTATTGAATAGAGAGAAGAAAAAAAATATTATTATATATTCTAGATAGGTACTATTTTCTTCATTTTGATTGGTTTACTTGGTTCTTGTAGTGATGAAAATAAAAATAATTCTTTAATAACTGGTCTCTCTTTTGGTCTTTCGTTAATAATCTTTGTTGCTAGTCTTGGTCATATCAGGTATTATTTATTTTGTATTATATCATTTGTTTTTATTGAATTTATTTATTGTTTTTTTTTTAAGTGGTGGTCATTTTAATCCAGCTGTAACACTTGGTGTATTGATTACTGGAAATATACAATTAAAAAAAGCTTTACTTTATATGCTTATGCAATTAATTGGTGGTGTTATGGCAGCTGGTATATTTCGAGTGAGGAATTATATTTCCAAAATTGTTCGAGTTTTTTCTTTTAAATTTGTGTTTTTTCTTGTTATAGCTTCTATCACATACGTCTACATATAATCGTTGTCATGGTGGCGCTACTTTTCTTATGACAATAAAAATTTCAAAAAAATTAGATGAACTTACCATGGATCGTATTAATTGGTGGGAAGGTAAGTAAATTTCATTTTTGTTTGTATAATTATAATGTAGAATGTGATTTGAATAGGGATGTGTGTTGAATTATTACTTACATTTGTCTTTGTTACTATAATTCTCATGGTAACAATAAATAAGAAATCTAAGAGTAATTTTGCACCGATTTATAATGGAATAGCTTTATGTGTTTGTATTCTTGCATCGTTAGTATAATTTGTTGTTGTTTTTTTTCGTCTATTTAAAACTTTTTTTTTTTTAATTTTACATAGAAATATGTTAACAGGTGGTTCACTTAATCCAGCTCGTAGTTTAGGTTCAGCTATATTTGCTAATGTATGGTCTCATCATTATATCTATTGGATAGGACCATTGATTGGTGCAACTATTGCTGGTGGTTTTTATCGGTATTAAAATTATATTGTTTATAATAAATTTATTTTTTGTGTGGATGATTTTCTTTTTTTCTTATAGATTTATATGGGGTACAAATGAACATCATACTTTGGATAATAAATAATAAAATATATTCTTTGAATATTTTGCTTGCTTGCTTTGCTTAGTCTTATATACGGCTAGCTTTAATAAAGAAAGAACAAATAAAATTAATAGGAATAGTGTTATTCTTACATGTGAATATGAATATTATTTTTTTTATGATTAAACTTGATTTTATCTCGGATGATTTTAAACAGATTGATAAAAGAGAAGAAATATTTAGAGATTGGCAAGTTATGGGAAAAATATTACATAGAAGCAATATAGTTAATAAAAAAGCACATGGAAAAATCTTAATCAAGTAGATCGTTTTGTAGTCCAAACCTTTCTGAACTTATGTTCGCATCAGAATTTAAGAGAGGTCTTTTTGTCTGATGACGTATAAGACAAAACTATTTTAAAATTCATCATCTTCACAAAATGCTCACAGGAAATCGATGAAGACGATTTTCTGTTTTGATGAAATTTTGATTTTAGCATGTGCTTGAGCTAGAGAGACTTCAAATCTCCATATTGAGCAAACAAAATTGCATAGTAATTCAGTCAAATTATATAGAATTCTGTATTCCAATTTTAATAAAAATTCAAATGAAATATTTACCTTGTGAATCTATTTTTTGTCAAAAATCCTTGCAGAAATTACCTATATCATGACTATCGTGAAAATACTGGCGTACTTTTACGTCTATCACGCTGACAGCATTGATTTGAGCCGAGCCAGAGAACCTAATCGGCCTCAGTTATGAGATCATTTTTTTAATTATAGATGATGCTGCAACAATTTTTCCATAAGTAACATATATTCTGAAACTGTTTTCTTCTCGGCTAATTTGAATTCTTTCTAATAACTAATTCAAATTTTGGTAGAAAACACATTCTTCAATCGCTTATAGTTATAACCGAAACTTCTAAGCGCTACCACCGGCTCTTATCAATACCGCGATATAGGTATAAACTGCAGTATTACTTTTTAATAAATAATACATCATACACAAGCGACACTCTTCGATGAAATAGTATATTTAGATTAATGGAGGTCGATAATATAATTCAGAATGTCCGTCATGGTTCCATATTATATATATATGTATATTTATCAGTATGTGGTATGATTTGGAGTTTATATACTTTTGTCCTCGTAGATTTTTTTTCATTTCATTCGATTACTTTAACCAAGGTTTTATCGTATGTAGTAATTTTAGATTGCAACTTCATCCGTTATTCGAGAATACGAACAATAAGAAAAAGAAATGTCTACAGCTCCAACAAAAAAACAACCATTTAAAGTTGCTGATTTAAGTTTAGCTGATTGGGGTCGTAAAGAAATAATTCTAGCTGAATATGAAATGCCCGGTTTAATGCAATTACGACGAACTTATGGTCCAACACAACCATTAAAAGGTGCACGTATTGCTGGTTGTCTTCATATGACTGTTCAAACAGCTGTACTTATTGAAACATTAATTGCATTAGGAGCTGAAGTACAATACTTCAATTTTATATTTTTTTTTCAAATAATATTTTGTTTTTTTTTCATTCATAAATAGGTTCAATGGAGTAGTTGTAATATTTTTTCAACACAGGATCATGCAGCAGCTGCTATTGCTAAAGTTGGTATACCTGTTTATGCATGGAAAGGTGAAACGGATGAAGAATATATTTGGTGTATCGAACAAGTAAATATTTTATTTAAGAAAATAAAATAAAAATGTTTTTTTGTTTCTATTTTTTAGACATTATTTTTTGGTGCTGATAATAAACCATTAAATATGATTTTAGATGATGGCGGCGATTTAACTGGTATTGTTCATGATAAATATCCTGAATTAGCATCGGGTATTTTTGGCATTAGTGAAGAAACAACAACAGGTGTACATGCACTTTATAAAATGCTTAAACAAGAAAAACTTAAAATACCAGCTATTAATGTTAATGATTCAGTAACAAAATCAAAATTTGATAATTTATATGGTTGTCGTGAATCCCTTATTGATGGTATTAAACGTGCAACTGATATTATGATTGCTGGTAAAGTTGCTGTTGTTGCTGGTTATGGTGATGTTGGTAAAGGTAGTGCAAGAGCATTAAGAAATTTTGGTGCTCGTGTTATTGTTACTGAAATTGATCCAATTAATGCTTTACAAGCAGCTATGGAAGGTATATTTTTTTATCTATATATTAGGAATGTTATTTCAAAAAGAAATCGAATGATGAATGTCAATTATTCATTAATTTGATGATTATAATTTTTAGAGAATATATCCATTAGGTCAATTTTTTTTCAGAATCCTTTCTTTTAATATGGATGTAAAGATGATCTTACGAAGGAAAATTTCGATACTATAAGATTCATTTTTTAGGCTATGAAGTAACTACAATGGAAGAAGCATGTAAAATTGGTCGTATATTTGTAACAACTACTGGATGTCGAGATATAATATTATCGCGACATATGTTGGAAATGCCTGATAATGCTATTGTTTGTAATATTGGTCATTTTGATGTTGAAATTGATGTTGCTTGGCTTGTTAAAAATGCAGTCTCAAAAGAAGTTATTAAACCACAAGTAAATAAAGATACTGTATCAATAGAAATTACTTTTCTATTTTTAGGTTGATCGATTTAAATTATCAAATGGACGTTCAATTATTTTACTTGCTGAAGGTCGACTTGTTAATCTTGGTATGTTCAAAGAAATGAAAAATTAGATTATTTTTGTTTGTTTATTTATTCGATATTAGGTTGTGCTCATGGACATCCAAGTTTTGTTATGAGTAATTCATTTACAAATCAAGTTCTTGCTCAAATTGAATTATATACCAAACATGGTCAATATCCAGTTGGTGTTTATATATTACCTAAGAAGGTTAATTTTTGTTTTACATTGATAAAAATTCTTTATTTTTAAATAAATATATATTTTTTTTTTAGCTTGATGAAGAAGTTGCTGCTGCTCATCTTGATCATTTAGGTGTTCGTTTGAGTAAAATGACAAATGAACAAGCTAAATATCTAGATTTAAATGTTGATGGTCCATTCAAACCCGAACATTATCGATACTAAAATTTCTTTTATTCTAACGATGAAAGCAAATGTGATTCTGCGCCCATCGTCTTTCGTTAGAATATATTCCAGTAAAACATGTTTTTTTTGTCGTAATGTTTGTATTGAATAAAAAAGAAGATATACCATCACTATCATCATACACATACATTATTGAATGAACAGAGCTCATAACAAATGTCATAGAATAAATGAATCTTCTAGTATTTTATGAAGATCGTTTCTTTTTTTGACTTGAATTTTTTCATCAAAAGATTTCTCATTGAGTTGTTTATAAAAGTGTATAAAAAAGCTGATATGACTGATTGGATGCAGGTTTTGGTGCGGATCTGAATCTTGTATTACTCACACTCAAGACTAATAGCCATTACTGATTTGTTCAAGGTCACACCGTGGCTGGTGATAAGGAGTTTTCAACATAGTTACTTGTGGGTATGTGTCGAATAATGTAGTCACTCAGCTGTAGTGGTGCCAAATAATATACAATTGTTTACTCTCTTCCAGGAACAAAAAACCAATTGAAATAGGTACAAGCAAAAGAAGAAACGAGAAAAATACTGAAAAATTAAAACAATCATGACGTACATGTATGATTGTATTTTTTTTTTTTTTTTATTATGCTCGTGTCTGTAACACTCGGAAGTGCTTACATAATAAAAGAGAGAATTATAGATGTATAAGCGAAATGGTGTATCATTAAAGCAAAGCGTTACAATTGTGCCAACAATATGCTATACTGAGTACCAACTTCTGCACATGGGGATATATAGAGAGTAAATAAATGAAAAAGAAAAAAAAAAAAAAATAACCCAAGAGTAAAAGAAAGAGAAGAAGAAGATAGTGAGAGAAGTACTGATGATGAGTAGCAGCGGAGATACGTGAGTAGAGCGAGCAACTCGAAGGAAGACGAAAAACAAATCAAGAGAAACGAACGCGAGATAAAAAGTAATAAGAAAGAGAGCAAGAACGAAAAAAGAAAATTGCATAAGCATTACATTTAAGCGTCTTTCTGTGACATTAATTCACATCAACAAAGGACAACCATTTTAAAAGAGAAGACTCGTGTCGATCTTTCAATTGTCGAACACGACGTAAAGAAAAAAAATGCCCAAGATGATCGTTTTTTCTTTTATAAAAGTTATCCCACCCAAAAATATCTTCATAGAACAATGAAGAACCAAGATCAGTTGTGTAAATGGTCTTTAGTCTTCGTTGAATATATTTTTTAACATAAAATTCTAAGGGTTGTTCTGAGGTAATATTGAAAAGATTATGAGCAGAAACGAAGGGGCAGCGATGCACCAGCCGAAGTCCCACACGGAATTTTTGTTGCAATATATTTTGTTGAGATTCTGAGAGGATTGGAAAAAGTGGAAACAGCCAAGCGAAATGAGGGAACGTGAATGCGAAAAAACATTGCCGGAGAGCTTTACATGACATTTCGCGACCAGATTTCATCCATTTTAGTTTTCCTAGCGATCTCTGAATATTTCCTATCGCTTTTTCGATTGTTGGTTTCAACGATAGTTTATCCGTCCAGGTAAAACCTAGGTATTTGAATTCTCTAACTAATTCGATTTTGTTTCCGTCTATCGTTACATTTACTATCGGTCTTTTTACTTGTGTATGAAAAAGTTGTACTACAGTTTTCGAAACATTTAACGGTTGTTTCCACTTTTTTGAATATATAAGAACCTGATTACAAATTCGTGTACCTTCTTTTTCTAAGTATTCAATCATCGGGTCTAAGTTTCTCATAATGGGAGGACTAATTAATACACAAAGATCATCTGCAAATAGATGACATGAATGAGCTCCCAGGTAATTTGTTAGATCTGAATGAAACACTATAAATAAGTATGGACTAAGACTACTGCCCTGTGGAAGTCCTATATGTATCTTAAATATTTTCGAAGTTATTTCACCATATTCTACGTAAGCTCTTCTATCTTTTAACCAACTATCAATCATTTTCAATAAGTTGAGAGGCATACCCAGTCTATCTAGTTTACACAGAAGAGCAGCATGCCATACACGATCATAAGCCTTTTGATAATCGACATAAAGCGCTAGTGTCGGAATATTGGCTGCCATGTTATTTTTGACTTCCTGATATATTGACAGAACGCGAGTAGGTAGAAGACATTTTGGACGGAACCCCGATTGTTCTACGGGTACTAAACGATTTGTTTCAGCCCAGTGTCTAATTCTTAGTAAGAGCACTTTTTCGAACAGCTTAGAATGTGTAGCTAACAAGGATATCGGACGAGTTTGTTCACACTTTGGGATACCCGATTTCAACTTATTTAAGGTTATAATTTTAGCAATTTTCCAGTCATCGGGATAACGACACTCGTTTAACCATACATTAAAGCAATTTGCTAAGCACTCGATGTAACTTGGAGGAAGTTTTTTAATTATGAAGTTTGACACCAAATCAAAACCTGCTGACTTCTTTGGCTTTAACGTTTTAATTAATCGTGAGATTTCCCAAACACTAGTTTTTTCGACTTTATCTTTTGATACTAATAATTTATTTAGCAACTCTTTATATTCAATGTCTAACTGAGTTTCATGTACATTATAACAATCCAGAGCAGATGCTTTAAACTGTTCACTGTAATACTGATATAGTTCGTTTGTGATTTCTTGTTGAGTTGATATTATTTTAGAGCCATCCGAAAGTTTATAAAAAGGCAGCGTACGCGATTTGTGAATGCGAGATAAGTGTGTCCAAAACGCTTTATCTGATTTATCGTAAGACGTTTGAATGTTAACCAAAAAATTTTGCCATTGAGCATTTTTGTATTTAGCAACTTCAACTTTGGTCTCTCTCGTCATTGTACGTAATAGCACCCTCGCTCCCTCATTAAAAACTCCCTTATGTCTTAAATGATAATATCTATTTCTCACTTTTCGTATTTCTTTTAATTTTTCGATGATATACTTCGGTAATGATGGTTTATATTTATCTCTCTCTTTCCAATGAGTCACTCTATTTTTGACAGCCGCGATGAAACGAATATATTGCTTGTACCACTCATCAGCACTATTTTTCTTTTGTTCTCTCATCCAGAATGTTTGTAATAGCGTTATTACTGCTTCAAATGCCTTCCAATTTGTATGAGGAAAAAAACTGTTTATATCGAAAAAAATGTTCTCACACGATAACACAATCGGCCAATGATCGCTAGTGCCAAAAAACACTGTTTCGCTTGAAATAGTACTCATATTAGAGAACGACAAATCTATATTACGTAGAGAGCGCTTAGATGAGTTGGACGTTGATGGAATATAATTGAGATTATTTTCATCAATCCATTCTTTCACGTGCGCACCTCTTCTATCAGTTATTGGACTATTCCATTCCTTGACTGTTGCATTAAAGTCACCTGATAGTATGGTACCTTCTACGACATAAGGCAAGATATCATCAAGATCACGCTCTTGACTAGTGGGCCAGTAAATACCAATGATACGTACTGGCTCTGATAGACCTGTTATATCAATGACAACTGTGTTCGGAATGTTAACCTCGATGCGCGTCGCTTTCAGATGCTTCCCTACTGCTATACATACTCCTCCATTCTTGTTAGTTCCCTTTTGATAGAACGTGTTAAAATGTGGTAATCGGCTCATGTTCCATAACTCACCAACTTCAGTAAATATACCAATAGAAGCTTGAATTTGATACACTAAATCAATAGCTTCAAGCGCACGCGTACCCCAACCTTCGACATTATAACATAGGATCTTAATATGTTCTTTTTGGGTTTGTGAAGGAGCTATTCCAACATTTCCCCATTGTTCTAAGACTGTGTTCAAGGTTCTACCCGTGTACCATTCATCTAAAAGAGATAATACTAATTTCTGATCTTTAGGTGCAAAATTCCAAGTTTTCAGCCGGTGCATAGCTTCATCTATAGGACTAAATGAATAATTCTCTGAAGCAGGAAAGAAAACTTTAGCGTGTACATTAAGATCTGACGTTCTACTTATCATTCTGTGAAGATTTGTGAACTGATGCAGAGTGTTGATCAATGTTAGTATTATGCACAAACAGTTCAACTTGCTGATTTAATTGATTTAATTGGAAACCATTTATTAATCTTGAGGACGCGACATGAAGGCGCTTGTAGTATTCGCTCGTGACTTGTACCAACGATGATCTTTCAACTTTGCTAGCAGTTAACGATGCTGGTATAACATATTGCATGAAGTCTTTCATAATATTGATAGTATCTGCTAAGACTGCTTGATGTAGCTGAATATCAAGAGTAACGGTTTTTATACTTGATGATACTAGATCAACTTTATTTTCAAGCCGTTTGTTACTATCGATTAGTTTTGTCAGATTATCATTGATGGATTCAATTGTTTTATCAGTATATGATGCTCGTAAGTCATTCGACTCAACAGTTGTACGTGGTAGCGCAGTATTCCATTTTTTATTGGAATGATTATCACTTGCTGCTAATGGTGGAAAGTCTTGCTCTCGACGTTCAAATGTAGGTGCTTTCTCTTGCGGTGAGAATCGCTGTAATAGTCCTTTTTGTATGGCATCTTCGACATCTTCCTTTAATTGATCTTTATATTCTTTTAAAACTTGACATTGACTATCCAACGAATGATGATCTCCATCACATTGAGCACATTTCGGTACATTTTTACACATATGAGGAGTATTGACATTCAGACTTTCAAGACAAATACGACATTTGCTTTCTGAGCTGCATTTGTTCCTTAAATGGCCAATACGCCAACATTTCGTGCAGTACGTTAAACGATTTCCCGGATAAAACTTGGTGATCGATAACCACGAATGACCTATTGCAATTCGACCCAGTTGCAACACAGCATTATATTCACGATAATCTTTCACTTCGAATCGATAATCATCTGTTCTTCTTTGGTATGAATAATGAATACGTTTAATACGATCTGCAGAAGCAATTGTTCGCTGAATTTCATTTGAAACAAAATTTTCATCTAATTCCCTAGGTACATAACGGACGACGAGAGTGAATGAATCTGGTATATATTTTGGTTTCACGACCACAATATCAATTCCATTTATCTTTGTTGGCCATTTATCCGAACTGACGAGAGTAGCGTAATCTTCTTTATTATTAACACCTAACTTTAGCTTTTTTCCTGCCCATCCTACTAATGTAAATCTATTGATTAAAACACCATTGGTTTGCAGTTCTTTCAGTATAAGATCACTTGCATGAAGAGCTGTTGGAATACTATTACGATCCACATCCGAGGTGAATTCAATAAAGAAACATGGTAAATTAGACGATACCGCGTGCTTCAGTTGATTAAAAGAAATTCGTTTACGATTCGTATTATCTTGATTTATCTCTTGATGTTGTCTTACATCTGACGACATCGAAGACGATGGTTGCTGTGTTTGTAAATTAATTTCTGGTTGTACATTATGTGAGTGCTTATGTGCATTATTGTCAATACCCCTTCGAGGATATTTACGGAGACCTCTTCCGTTGCTGATCGAACCTCCGCTTTCATCTAGTGGATGACCGCGTTTCGGTGTTGAATTCACTGGTTGCATGAGTTGTTGTTGTTGCTGATTTGACTTTGAATAATTTTTCTGCAGGTACTTGTGTACATTTAAAGCTGCTTGCGGACACTCTGATAAAAATCTTGATATAAGTTCAACTTGAACATTTGATATAGAACCTTGTTCCAGTGTCTCATATTCCTTTCCAGACTGAAGATCCTCATTAGGATCAATATTAATTGCCTCTGCCATCAGTACTCTCGTATCGACTTAGAGAGGCAGATGCACAAAGAATGTAACGATAACAAAAAAGAAAAATGTGACTATACTTGTGTATGATTGTATTTCATGTTCTCACAAGCATAGCTTAATCACAACAGTAGTATTAGTTGAGTTGGAAATCATATCGTCCTTCAATGATCACGATCCGCAACTATTTCTCCAATAAACATTCCAAGGTATTTAACATGTTTAGAAAATTTTTATTTAAACGCATTTGCCATGAAGAAACTGGTGATATTTGATTTCCTTTGACATCAATGAATGCTCTCTACATCATGACAGATGGGAGTAGACGAACAATACAGATCTAAATTTTTTCTTATGCTTCCAATAATTTTGCTAGATCTTGTCTATAGCTCAGACTTCATTAAAAAACTTTCAAAACTTTTTCTCTGCCGTTGAGAAATACAAGAGGCATGCTATTTATTCGTAGGTGCCTCAGCTTGACGAAAGATTTTATTAGATATTCTGAGAATGGAAACGATAAATAATCTGAGAAACATTTTCAGAACAAAGAACTTTATCGGTTTCTCGTAGTTACCAGATTTTCGCAAAACGGGAAGAGGTGCTCGAATAGTGGTAGGATAGGATGGGATTTCTTAATAAAATGAGTATCCATAGATTACCCGATAGTGTCCACATGATCAAAGTATATATTACAGGAACATTCAGTCATATACTTACGAATTTCCTGTCACGATTTCGAATTACTGAACACCAGAATTATTTGACACTTAATGTGCTATATGAGTCTACTTAAATCAAGTTTTGCAGATAATTTCGCTGCTAGAGACATTTGATCAATCAATCTACCTATTATCACTGATGTCGGTGATGTAATAAAGACCGTAGATTTTTTCGTAACAAGTGTCATATAGAAAACTTTCAATGAATGCCTTGAAAAAGTCGATTGCGATGAGGTAGTCATGCTTCATGGATGGTGTGGGTGTATTTCTTTGTTCAATCTCACACTCACACCCATTTCAAAATTAACTCTCATTGAAGACATATATGAAATCGTCTCAATACACTGAGTCATCATTCATTACACAAGTGTCGTATAGCTCTATCGAAGATTTAAAAATTGATAAATACTGCTTATCGATTCTTTCAAAAATAGTGAAAGGCGCTTCGCATCGATAATGATTAATGACCATGTGGATGCTACAATGCCTGCTGTACTTGAATGAATTTTGATTATGATGGAAATCAACACTTAGTTTTTTTCATATTTTTGATTTATTCTATATTATGAATTGTTCAATAATATTTTTTCCTTTCAGATGAAAAAAAAAAGAACATGCATTGATACAATCAAATCTATTAGTGATGAAATGTAATTTACTTAGTTTTGTATGTATTGATTTTCATCATTTATACATATAAGATGTTTATTGAAAGACACAACACGAACTATTTTAGTTGAGCTTGAAATAATCAAGAAAGATTTATAGTCAGCTGATTAGTTAACAAGACTGATCTTCAACAAATTCGTTCTTTTATGGATCTTTGTTTAACTATGTTATATGTTCTGATGAAGAAAATTTTAACATACGTTTCGATTAAAAAAAAATTTCATTTCAAAACATATGCCTTTAATTTCGAACACGCTGAAAGCCTTCTCTTGTACTCGTTTTTTTTCTTCGATCTATTGACAACAAGCATTTCTTTATCGTTATATGGGTACATAAAGCAAAGGAATATCAATAGAAAAGGTTTACACGCTTCGTGCTCCTTTGCATTGAGAATCAATCTTGTTTTTTTACTAAAGTTTGCATAGGATAGAAAAAAAATGCAATATTTTAGACATTAAAATCATCTGACGAAAACCAAGTTCGTTCATGTTGTTCAATACTAAGTAAATCAAATCTTGAAATATTATATTGCAGAGTATATTTCTATGTCTAAATAGTAAAAATTATTTCTGATGAGAAATTCGATGTTTTCAATTCTGCAAATTTGTCAAATCAATTTGACAAAAAAAAAGAATTTCAAAGTAAATTAAGAAGAGCAATAGCAACTGATTTTAGTTTATATATGGACAAAAATTCAAGCGAAAAATTTTTATCAATGTAAAACTGAAAAAAGAGGCTGCATAACTGTGCACCTTGTAAATATTGCGTCAGAAAGTAAATAAAAAAAAACGTCGTGGAGCACTTTCTTTTTTTCTTTTCTTCCAAGCAGTTGGAGACGATAATGACGTATGGGAGAGAAAGAAAAACTTCTTTTCTCCCATCATTCAACAATGTTCGATAAAAAAATAATGATGTCAGATAGTTCCCAAAATATATCTCAATCAAAATACTATAAAAATGAAATTCATCATCATTTCATTATTACTTAATTGTACTGTATCAATATGGCTACAATAGACATTATTCAAACTAGAGACTTTACTGAACAATCTTGCAAACATAGTGATTGCACCCCTGTAAGTAACATAGAAAAACGGAAAACAATTCTCACTTCAAAAACAGATATTACAAAACAAGAAATTATCATTCGGAAAAAGAAATATTCATTAAATGAATCAGAAACAATACGAGAAGTCTTTCTCATTGGTCGCATTTTACACCGAGTAGTGAATCAATGGCATCTGCTGGTTGGTTTTCATGTAATGCTAATGATCGAGTTATTTGTATATATTGTAATACAATTTGTCATCAATGGACAATCAATGATGATCCAGCTGAAGTTCATAAAATACTTGCTCCACAATATCCATTTGTTCTTTCAATGTCTTCACGAAATAATTTACCCAAAATAATAAATGATAAACTTTAAAAAAATTTTCAACCATCTCATCCACAAATGGTTGAAATATCTCGTCGAGAAGCAACATTTTCTAATAGTAATTGGACAGAAAATTCACCAAGTATCGAAAGTTTCGTCCGTGCTGGCTTCTTTTGTAATGGTATTAATAATACAGTGACATGTTTTTATTGTAATGGCTCATTACATAAATGGGGTTCAAATGATAATCCTATAATTGAACATGCTCGATGGTTTCCTCATTGTACTTATGCTAAACATTTATGTGGAAATCAATTGTATAACAAAATTCAAACATCGAAAATAAAACTAAATTTATCAGAAAATAAAATTGATAAAGATCAACTTAATCGTTTAGTTAAATCAAGACTTGATTTACCTATCGTTGAACGTCTTCGTTCACAATATTCATTAGCAATAATTAAACGTTGTATTGAAGATCAATTTAAAATCAAAAATGATGATTTTCAATCAGATATTGATTTAACAATGGCTTGTTCAATTCTTCAAAAACAAATAGATATTATTCAAGGTTCTTTAGATAATATAATAATTCCATCAGAATATGAAAAATTAGATAGTTCATCACAATCATCAAAACAATCATTAGGTGAATGTTTTATATATCTTACCGAAGAGAAACAATTAGCATGTATGCCTTGTGGACATTTATGTGCTTGTGTTCCTTGTGGATATGTACTTCGTTCATGTTCAATTTGTAAACAACAAATTAAATGTTTTATGAGAATTAGTTCTTAATTTTTTGTGTACACTTTTAGTCAATTTCTTATGCAATAGTTTTCGTAGTATTTTTAAATAGATCTTTTAAATACTCAATTGTAAAAGCAACTATTGTATGATTAGCAAATTGGATTACCACTATTTTCACTTGTGTTCTGTATTTTCTCTACTCCCTAACAAAGCTTCGATTTTTTTATTAAAAAATGTTCAGATAATAAAATCTATTAATATCAAATTATAATAGCTATAGTCTAGTCGATACAAAAATTCAACGATATAATAAAATTGTCAATCATAATTATGCCAACAACCATGATATTCTTTATGTCACACAGATAGTATTACCTTGAGACGAAAGAAGAAATGAAAAAAAGAAAACAATCTCCAATATAAGAAGAA